TAGTGAATTTAATTTGTTAACACACTGCAATCATTTAAAAAGCTTATCCAAAATAATTAAATCACAGCCTTCCTATCGTAAAAACAACAAAAAACAATGTATAAATAAAACTAAGGCACCGGTATGTTGTGTTATTACAGTGTATAGGCAGCGTCTTTATTCCTTATTTTTTCTCTCATTCTTTATGAATATTGAGAAATATATATTACTAGCTTGTTGAGTAATTGTGCTCTGGAAATGTGAATTTGGTTCTCCTCTTCTTCCCCCGAGGCGATACTGCTCAAATTACGACTCTTCTCGACTATTTGAATACACGCTAAGTATCTACCCATGCTAATATCTAATAATTGGGTGACATCTCACTGGATGGATATTCAGCACTTTCTATCTGAAGCAATTTTGGGGAGGGGAAATACATGTATCTCCATTTCATAAGCTAATATTAATAACGCTAGATAAATAAATTACTTAATCCTCCAACTCCTCAACTACGGCTTTATTAATGCTATTTCAGGAGCAAACGTTTGCAGAACGTCATTATAAAATACACACTGAAAATGAAGCTGCATAGAATGAGAGAGGAAAGGGCAGAAAATGTGATTAGTAGACGGTAATTCTTCAGTTGAAACATTGCTCTTTTTGAAATGGAAAATAAGATGCATTAAATCTGTACTTTCCAAGAAAAAAAATCCTTTGAAAGTCGCAGGAACCAACATTTTTTTTTTTTCAGTTGGATTTCAACTTTTGAAATGTTTGAATAAATGCAGTCTAATTTTTCTCTAGAAAAGATACAATTATTTTTTTAAATGAAACCAGAGGAATATACATAAATTAAAAAAAAAATGAGACAAAAAAAGATTTGGGATTTATTTACTACAATAAGAATTGAGGTGAACTGACAAATAGATTATGAAAAACGTTAGATGGAAAAAATAGATGAATTAAACATTTCTTTACAATTTCTCGTCTATACTGATCAGCCATAACATTAAAACCACTGACAGGTGACGTGAATAACATTTATTATATTGTTACAATGGAACCTGCCAAGAAGTGAGATATTTAGGCAGCAAGTCAGGTATCAGTTATTGATTTTCATGTGTTCGAAGCAGAAAAAATTGGGAAGTGAAAAGATCTGAGTGACGGACAAGAGCCAAATAGTGATGGCTAGATCAGAGGGCGTACCTGGAGCATTTGGCACCCAGGGCGGATCCTATATTTGGCACCCCTCTCCCCCCCATCCTCCAGCTCAAGAATGTAAAAAACACCAACAAATTTTTTAAATGTATTTAGCACCAAGCAGTGTTTGAATGTTTTTGTATTGAATATGTGTGAGTGAATGTACGGGTGTGTTTTCACGTATTGGCATTTGAATGCAGGTGTGCATTTTTCTGTAGTGTGGTTTTGAATATGGTGGTGTGGTTTTATGGATGCAGGGTTGTATTTGTGTGTAGTGTAGGCGAAATGCTGAGATGTATGCACATATACTCACATGTACACACACTGGCACACATTCACATAGGTACACACATGCAGTTACATAGAAACACAGTCATATACAGATACAGACACATACAGATAGAGACACACACATAAAGACACAATGATACAAACACAGACACACAAACATACACAGACATACAAACAGATACACAGACACATACAGATACACATATACCAACACACATACAGATACACAGACACACATGTATAAGTGTGTGTCTGTGTGTGTTTGTATAGTATATGTAGTGTGTGTGCTTGTATAGTGGATAAAGGTGTGAAGGAGTGGGTGATGGTGAGAGGGAGGGGGGTGATGATGAGAGGGAGTGGGGTGATGGTGAGAGGGAGGGGGGTGAGAGGGAGTGGGGTGATGATGTGAGGGGAGTGATGATGAGAGGGAGGGGGGTGATGTGAGAGGGAGATGGTGTGAGGGTACAATGGCGGGGCATCAGGGAACGCCTGGCACTATAATGACTATAGCGAGGTGTGGTGGTTATGGTGCTTGTAATGTTGCTTTAATTAATTTGTTCTTTGCTTCAGTATATCAATTATATGCAATGCAGAGCAGCACTTTTCAAGAACCTTCTCCAATCTTTCATCGAGACCTGACCGACACCTAAAATATTCTTCATATTTAGCAAATATATACAGTATCTCACAAGTTAGTACACCCCTCACATTTTTGTAAATATTTTATTATATCTTTTCATGTGACAACACTGAAGAAACGACACTCTGCTACAATGTAACGTAGTAAGTGTACAGCCTGTATAACGATGTAAATTTACTGTCCCCTCAAAATAACTCAACACACTGCCATTAATGTCTAAACCATTGGCAACAAAAGTGAGTACACCCCTAAGTGGAAATGTCCAAAGAGGGCCAAATTAGACATTTTCCCTCCCCGGTGTCATGTGACTCGTTAGTGATACAAGGTCTCAGATGTGAATGGGGAGCAGGTATGGTAAATTGGGCTCAATTTTGACATTTCCACTTAGGGGTGTACTCACTTTTGTTGCCAATGGTTTAGACATTAATGGGTGTGTGTTGAGTTATTTTGAGGGTTTGCAAGCGCGCTGTCTTGGCCGTCATACTTGATTCTGGCCTCACCTTTGAGCCTCACATCCAGTATGTTGCCAAATCCTGTAGATTCCATCTTAAAAACATAGCCTGCATCCGTCCCTTTCTTATGCAAGATGCTACCAAGGAGCTTGTCCATGCTCTAGTAATTTCCTGCATGGATTATTGTAACCCTCTCCTGATTGGTCTTCCCAAAAGCCGTACTGCACCGCTACAGTCCATAATGAATGCTGCCACCAGACTTATTTTCCTCTCTAGTTGGTTCTCTCACACCTCACCCCTCTGTCAGGCCTTACATTGGCTTCCTGTATGCTATACGAGTCAATTCAAGGTACTAATTCACACCTATAAAGCACTGAACAATTCTAGCACCTCTTATATCTCTTCACAGATCCATAGGTATGTCCCTTCTCGGTCTCTCCGCTCTGCCCGTGACCTCCTCCTGTCCGTTGTTCGCACCCATACGGCCAACTCATGCTTGCAGGACTACTCGCGGGCAGCTCCCTTGCTATTGAATAGCCTGCCTACTGCCATCAGACTCTCCCCTAGTCTTACATCTTTTAAGAAGTGCCTTAAAACCCATCTCTTTAGAAAAGCTTATGGCCTCCCAGAGTAACCTGGACCTCACATACCTGTCTCTTACCTAGCTCTCTCCTAAAGGGCAGCACTCTACTCTCTCCTCCAGCTCTGCCTCACTCCCACCTTGTTTGATTGCAAATTCCTGTCCTATTGTGTTTTACACCCCACCTCCTATAGAATGTAAGCTCGTTGGAGCAGGGTCCTCTTCAACCTATCGTTTCTGTAAGTTTTCTTGTAATTGTCCTATTTATAGTTAAATCCCCCCTCTCATAATATTGTAAAGCGCTACGGAATCTGTTGGTGCTATATAAGTCTCAATAATAATAAATTTGGTCTTATTGCTCTCACACTCTCATACTGGTCACTGAAAGTTCAACATGGCACCTGATGGCAAAGAACTCTATGAGGATCTAAAAAAAAAAGAATTGTTGCTCTACATAAAGATGGCCTAGGATATAAGAAGATTACCAAGACCCTGAAACTGAGTTGCAGCATGGTGGGCAAGACCCTACAGCGGTTTCACAGGACAGGCTCCACTCAGAACAGGCCTTGCCATGGTCGACCAAAGAAGTTGAGTGCATGTGCTCAGCGTCATATCCAGAGGTTGTAATAGACGTATGAGTGCTGCCAGCATTGCTGCAGAGGTTGAAAGGGTGGGGGGGTCAGCCTGTCAGTGCTCAGACCATACACCGCACTCTGCATCAAATTGGCCTGCATGACTGTCGTCCCAGAAAGAAGCCTCTTCTAAAGATGATGCACAAGAAAGCCCGCAATCCGAAAAACCCGCAAAATGTGAGGAGTGTACTCACTTTTGTGAGATACTGTATATCTGCTGTGGCAGGGTCAGAGAGGCTTTTTATGTTAGTAATAGATTGGAGCGCTCTCTATTCCCAGCATGATGGGGTTAATTGGTGGGAGTCACCCCTTGAATGTTATCAACCAGGTGAATGTAATTAACCAGCACCAGGGTTTTAAGACATCAGAGAGTCTAATAGCTGGGAGAGAGGAGACAGTTAAGCCTGAGACTCTGAGAAAAAGGTACTGTGTGACACCTGCTTAAAGTGCTGTATTTCATTTTGTTTAAAACTGGGAACCAGATTAGCTGGCCGGTTGAATAGTTAGTAACACTGTTGTTTAGTAAGTCTCCAAGTTGGAGTAGGATTTATTTTCTTTTTGTTTTATTTTTGTGGGAGAGCACATCCTTGTATATATTGTGGAAAGTGACAATAAACTGCAGTACTATTTTATCCTGACTGTTGCTTTTGAAGTTTATTGTGAAGAGCTTGGCCATCCTGCCACACTGCACTTCTTCAAAATATTGCGAATAATACTCAGTCTACGCATTTTATAGCAATTTGCCCAACACAATGTATAGTTACCGTATCAAGTGATTTTGTACAACAGGCGCACTTCAATTCTTATATTGCCTTTTTGACATTGCAAAATTTGATCATTCTAGTATTTTTGTACTGCTATAATTTGAAGCACATCTCAGCTGATTTTTTTTAAAATTCATTTATTGTTAAGTGTCTAATCAAAAGAAACCAATTTAGAGAATTGAACAGATGCTTTGCCAAAACATTCCACATATTAGATTGACAGAAATGCTGTCGATTATTGTCTCATTCCATTTTAAAACAAATTCAGAAGGCCAAGTGCAAGTTCGGTGAAAGAATCAAGTTTGGCACCTTGAAATTAATGAGCAACTAATAAGCATATTCGACATCTGTAACTAATGTGGTGTTAGAACCCAGAAACGCTATTATTGCCACTCACAACCGAGAACTAATTAGAGAAGCAGGGTAAGGGTTCACAAAAACAACTGTTCCAGGTTAACTGTCAGAAGATGCTGGAGAGAAACAGTATGTAAAATGAAAGGATAGGCTTACAGAGATACAATGTGTTTGGAAATACATAGAAAAGAGATGCAGATTGTATGGAGCACTTTGTAACAGGAATTGGGGGTTATAGTAAACAGGAATATGGGAATAAATTCTGACCGCTGTAACTCTCTGGTCCATATAGATGAGCATATACACCATGTTCTCATTATTTAACACCAGCAGCCTCTTAAAGCCAAGCTGTCATTAAAGGATCACTATGATGTTAGGAATACACTGTAGTGTCCCTATGACCAAGTGCCCCCCGCCCCCCAGTCATGTAAAGGGTTCAATGACTCAACGCTTTCCTATGGAGTTTTCCAACACGCTATACATCCTCATGCAGAGCGTGAGGACGTCCAGCATCGTTTCACGGAGTCAAACTTTGTAAAATTGCAGAAAGTCTGACAGAAAGCCACTAAAGGAAGTCTTAACACTGCATTACAGGTTTAAGGGGACAGGAACACTAATGAGATAAAGTGTTTTGAGAGCCTATAGTTTCCCTTTAAAGGAGCACTATAGTGCCAGGAAAACAAACTCGTTTTCCTGGCGCTATAGGGTTATTAAGTTCCCTCCCGCTGGGTTAAAGGGTAGACAGCCACTGGAGGCTGGATTAACCCTTAATGTAAACATAGTTTTTCTGAATGGTGCCCCTAAACTCCATTAGTCCTTTAAATAATTGTTCAGGATGGTAATAGACTGAAATTAGTAGTGCATATGTTATTTGCACACACATAGTAGTGTTACATAGCCTGATACCCAGTACATTCAAAGCTGGATTACCCATAAATCAACTTAGGTCTTGGGCCCAGGGGGCCCCTATTTGGGCCGTGAGGTCTGGCTACGGCTATAGGGATGAGGGGAGGGGGGCTTCCCTGAATAGGCAGGGAGATCAGAATATCTCACTTTAAGATTACCCTTTAGGGTCCCCCAGCAATTCTCATTGACGCATAGCACCACAAGCAGCACTCAATAGTCATTTACCGAGCAGCAGACCCCAAGCACAAAGGAGATCCCCCACCAGATGACCAAGGATCCTGCTCCGCACCTCACCTTTCCCTGGACTACCATCTTGCCAAAAGGTAAGTAGGATGGGAGCAAAAGAAAAACTTTCCACACACACTCTGACACCACATACACACACTTAGCCTTCTCCACACGCAACACTCAACCAGCACACACAGGCACACTCAGCGTTTAACCCCATGCAGTTCTCAGCCTCCTGCCCCGCCTCCCCCACTCCTACACACACAACACCATGCCTTCCAACCATCCCAGTTTCAGCGGGACAGCCCCAATTTTCAGGGTCCTCTCCCACCATCCCAGCTTTCCCATTTCCCTGCTGCCCCACTTTTGTGGACACCAGGGAGCTGTTCCCAACAAGCATAAGATGCACTCACGCTGTGTTCAGGGCACTAGAACCTGCACTCATTGGACCATCGTGAGTGATGGACAGGCAGCCTGGTGTGTACTCACAGAAGGCTATCCTACCATTAATCTCATGGAGTTGTGAGGTGATGGGAGATGGAGTTGGAGTTGGGAGGTATGCTTAACACGCAGCCACTACACACACACAGCATATATGAATAGTGCTCTCCTGCAGGAGATTCTTTTGGACTTTGACCTTCATATACCACCATTGTGCCATCACACATTAATAGCAATAGAGTTTTTTGTTTTTTTTAACATAGCAAGCAATAACGTTGTTTTACATTTCTCAGAAACTCTTTTAAGCGCAGTCAGACAGCATGTGCCTGAACTCCTTCCATGTGTAATGCTTCTTCTAAAGTAATGTATGTAAAATAAAACCTATTTTGGTTTTGTGATATGATTCACAAAGAAGAGCCACAGAGATCTCTGCTGTACAGATTCAGGATGTGTCACAACACAACTTCCACCAGATCCACAGCTGTGTCTTTAGTCCACTGAGCTTGTGATAACTATACTATATCTCCCTCATCAGGTCATTACAGTGCATTACACATACACAAATGAAAGGGACACTGTGGGCACCCAGACCACTTCAGCTCATTTTAGTGGTCTGGGTGCAGTGTCCCAGCAAACTTAACCCTGAGCATGTAATTATAGCAGTTTTTATAAACTGCAATAATTACGTGCTAGGGTTAACTCCTCCTCTCTGTCTACCAGATAGCAACTAGAGGGACTTCCGGGCCCGTAGGCGACTTTGGTCGCCTAAATGACACTGGACATCTTCACGCTATGCGTGAGGACTTCCAGTGTCACCGGGATCCCCATAGGATGCATGCGCATTAGGTCTCCCCCGCCAGCTGACATCGGCGGGTGTGTGTCTGATATATACACACACACATACAAACACTGACATATAGGCAGATTTATACACACATATACACACTGACACACACACAGATACACACATACACGCACAGATACATACTGACATATACAAAGATGAACATACAGATACACATACACAAATATACACACACTGGCAATTTACATATTTTAGCCACCTCTCCTTTGTCCGTACCTTTTTGGTAAAGAAAAGGGTGGTTTCCCTGAGGTCCAGTGGCATCTCCCCGCCCGGCTCATTGGTAAGCTGGGAAGAAAGTGACTTGTACCGGGCCCCTGATCATAGATGGCCATCGGGTGACGCTAAGTGTGTGACCCCTTTTTTACAGTGTATGTGGGTATTTTTATCCTGAACTTTGGCTTGATTTTGGGTTACAATCAGGTTATGATCATAATGTTTGGCTTTACCTAGCTACACTGTTTATTCTGTAACATCATCATCTTGAATGTTCTTGCATTAATCTCCACAATCCGTAAGGACTTCTTATATTCCTGCTGTCATTTAATCTATCCTCTGTTTAGAGTCCACCAACTGTTTTCTGAAGCCTGATTTAAGGACATATTGATAGAAAACAGTGCTATCCCATTCCCCATGGGTCCTATGGGGTAAGATTCTTTTTATATCATTAAACAATAAAGCATACATGATGAGGTTGAATCTTTTTAAATATAGAATATTTATACTTATTGTTAGTGGGTGTACTGTTAGAAGCTCTTCTTATAATCCCCTGCCTTGGAGGCATTTGAAATAACACCTTAAAATTTCAAGTCTTCAAAGTGATATGTTTTTTTTATGATTTTTTACTGACACTGTCTCTGTCACTTCTGAATTATCACAGCTTTAAATTCCCTCTCTCCCATGGCATATCTGTCTTTATGGAGTAAATAAATTTCCTCGCAAATAAAAATAAATAAGTAAACTGTAATATGTCACTTTGATCTCAGAGTCATTTTTGAAAGATTTCAACAGTTGGCTGACTTTTTATTATCATTATTTTAAGAGTTGTAAGTGGTGATATTCTGTTAGTTTTCTTTCCCTTGTGGAGACCAACTTATTAGGCAGGCAACAATTTACATAATGACACTTAAAAACAATGTAAGAAATGAAATTAGAAGTGAAGGCTTACCATTTAACTTCTCTTTCATCTCTCCTTTAAGAAATGTGCGAGACTCTCCAGTAACATAGAGCTCTATCGGAAGGTCATTATTTAGTAGGTCTCCCCCTTTTCCAACTAAGTTCCCTTTAGCACTGCTTTAACAGGAGTTAGTATATCAAAACAAACTGAACGAAAAAAAGGAAATTCCAGTAATCAGAGCAAAATTAGGTTAACAAAAACGATCCAGAAACTTTGATAATAATTTTGAAACTCAATCTAATAACAATGTCATCAAGGAAAGCCAGGAATCAGTCCAGTCCTTACAATGCTGCCAAATCGGAATCCAAAAAGTCAAAGCCAGGGGTTCAGCAACAATATATCAGTCAGGAATCTGGGTATCCTAATCGAGACGGAGAGACTATCTTTGTTAATACAGCCAAGTCTGGGTGCCAGTAAATCAGTGCTAGGTTATAGAGGGTGAACACAGTAATGAAATATCAACTGAGGAGCAAAGAAGTGATGGATTAAAGAGAAGACGCGGTAGATTGGAGGGAGGAGCTGGGACGAATGGTGGGGCCTGGTTTAGAACATCCTGAGGAATGAATAAGGTTATGAGACAGAGAGCTCTCAGTGTGCTTTTCAGACACAATAATCATGTAATTAAAGGGTTACTCAAATCCTTTTTTATTACTATAGTTTTTGGGGTCTCAATGTCCTATTGGCCATTTGTCACTTGGTCCCCCCACTTCCTGTTAAATAAAAACCTGTAAAATTGGTTAAAACTTACCTTGAATTCAGTGCCAAACCAAGTTACCCCGCACAAGACACTGATAGTTCATTTCCATGCTGTGACTCCTACTATCATTAGGCATCCAGGGGTCCCGATCTCTGGACCGTCACCCCTGACAGTATGGGCGTAGGCCCACTTGGAGTTTGTGGAGTGGGCTCTGCAGCTTTCCTGACCTGCTCTGTCTGTATTCTGTCCTGCCTGGGAATTCTGCCTGCAAGAGATCCTTTATCGACCAGGGATCCTCTCCAGCCTCCCTCCCTGCCTGTGGGTCGGTGAGGGAGATCAAAACATCTTTGATCTCCCTCACCGGCCCACGGAGGGAGGCACATAGTGCGTGCCACGGAGATTAGGGTGTGCCCAGGCACACCCGGCACACCCCATGTGCACGCCTTTGATCTGGACTAGTCTGCTGGAGATGACTTCCTCATGCCTGTCCAGTCTGTCTGATACCTGTCCTGGAGGAGGTCAATCTTCTAAGCGGTTCAGTGAGCTCTACAGGTGTTCTTTGGGATGGTTTGTTCCTGCTGGTTCCTGGTTCCGGTTCCTTGTTCTGATTCCTGTTTTGTGGCAGTGCTCCTATTCTGGAGTGGATCTCCATTCCAGGCTGGTGGATCCTCTGCAGGAGACCTCTCCAAAGGAATTAAAGTAGTTTGAGTTGGCATTGCAAGCCACGAACTAGCCTCCTGCTAATTTATCAAAGGCTAAAGACGGGGAATCCTTGCCTCCGGTAAGTCAAGTGGACTTAGTTGCAGGTTCCTAGCTCCTTTCCTGGTCTCTGCTTGAGAGCTGCTAGTCACGCCCAGAGGTCACTCCTTAGGAGGGGAGTTATGTCACGTCCTGTTACATTCTGCAGAGATTTCTGGTCTTGTTTAATTTTTCTTGTTTTTTCTGGTTTTCTATTTGATGTCTGTTTTTTTTTTTTGCTGGGTTTTCTGGGTTCATTCCTTTATTCCGTTCCTGGAATTCCCAGTCTCCTGGATTCCTTTAAATGTTAGTTTTTTTGTTGCCACACCCGTTCCTTTGCTATTTATCCCTTTTGTTTGTGTGTGTTCCTGCTAGCAGTGGTCTCATCCCTCTGCTCCTTTCCTTGCAGGTAAGTACTGTGTGTGTTTTATTATTGTACTTTTAGTCATGCATTTCTAGGCAGTTAGGACCCATCGTAATTGGAGTACTTTGGTGCAGTGGTGGGCTGCATACATCTTGGCCATTTATGTATGTCTAAATCTCCAATGTTTATTACATATATAGTACTTAGTTATGTCTCCTGTTGTTTTACCTTGTATCTCTTGTCTTGTTTTATTTTGTCTTGTATTCCCAGTTCATGTACAGTCCTGTCCTGTCCATTTCCTGTTCTTGTTTTCCTTGTGTCTTGTGTACATGTTCTGGGTTCTGCTTTCTGTCCTGCTCTGGTCCTGGGTTCTTCTAGTCTTGTCTTGTTATCTTGTTTGACGCCTATTCTACTCTTGCCTTGTTTCTAGTACTGGATACATATCTGCATATTATCAAGCTCCTGGGATCTGCAGAAGCTGCATCAGGGCCCTGGTATGTGGCCGCACAAACCCTGGTGCTCAACACCAGGGGGCGTGTGGCTACCCTGCACCAGGCTCTGGTTGTTCACCATCATCAGGCATACAGGGGTCCCGGTCTTCAGACTGCCTCCCAGGACACTTCATCATGGGCAGCACCTAAAAAAAAGTAGCTATTTTAGCAATTTACTAGGAACCCTTCCAACTTTGACTCTGTGGACGCTAACAACTTATGACCACCAGAATTCCTAGATATGGTCAGATAAGGTCTTCTCCACCTTTGGAAATATGCTTCCTTCCTGTTTGGCACCTGGACATTGAGCCCCTCTCTCCTCTCCTGCTAAATAGAACACAATGAATTAATAATTGTTACATCTCAAACTATAAACAGCAGCTGAGAAACATGCAGATTTATATAGTAATTATGCTGAAGCATTTGATGATTGTAGGCTTGGCTAATTAATTATGGTAGAACTACTTATCCCAGTGTATGACTCCTACTGTATTCGTTTGTGATAATTTTTTTGTTTGTTTTTTTGCTGCTGCAGTTGTTGTCTGTCCGTTAATAATAATGTCGCAAGCCCAAAACAGGAAAGGAGAAATAGATCATGGCAGGTTTGTCCTACGTTTCAAGGTGCTTCAAGCTGAGATTTATCTCCCACCAAAAATATGCTCGGCCCAAGATAAAAACCATATAAAAAGGATTTCTTTTAGCATTTAATGTGCTCAGAGCCTTTCTGTAAAATAACCTGTTTACATATTTATCAGAGAGGCAGACACACGTTCAGTAGGAATTAAGAAATACCCACTCACTATCTTTGTTGTCTGTTACAATGCTGATACATTGTGTTTCTCTCTGTTTATGCGGGAAACTGATCAGGACATAGACGTGATAACTGAAAATGGAGAAATGCTTGTTATCTTGCAGAGCTCTTGAAGGGCAGACAAGCATATTTTTTCTGTAAAGTAAAAAGTGTATGTATTAAGTAAAACATGGTTTATACATTGTACTTATACAGGAGTATATAAAGCAAGTATTCTCAAACTCTGTAATCAGGTTATCGCTTTAGGGAAGGGGACCAGGATCTCTTTATTTATAGTCATACAGGTGCTTTCATTTTTCTTGTAGCAATACAAAGGGCAAAGAGCAATTAAAAAGAGGTGCGTCCTGCAGCAATCAAGAATGAGTTAAATATTTCACATATCACATTGAACACCGATATCTTGATTAAGTTTCCCTCGATTATTCTATTTCAGAGTTTTCTTTGAGGCTCTGCATACATCAACACCATGCATTTGTTTGGCTGGTTGGTCTGTAAGACAAGAACCCTTCCACTGCAGTTTGGTTGATTTTGGGCAGATCCTGCACAATTCCCGAATTCCAAGTTGAAATATACCCAAATTATGGACTAACTGAAAACAAAATGCAGAATTTATTTTTTTTGTGTTTTGGGGGGAGCAGGGGGATTAATATATTAAATTCTGCCTGTTGCACACACAAAAATTGATAGCAACAGTCACTAAATGTTGATTTCATTCACAATTTAAGAGAAGCGAACAATAGATGAAAAACATTTTTTCTCACTTAATCTGTGAACCACATGGTGGGAAAATGCTCCTATCAGTGTTCTGTAAAATATATACATAACAATATATTAGGTATATATTTTGCAGTACACTAATTGGCCCATTTTCAAGCATTTTTGGCTTATTCTTTTGATCCAGTTCTCAACATACAAATCGACATCTGTCTGAATGTTGATGGTGCTGAAAAAATTATTCAACAGAACCAAAATATCTCGCCGTGCTCTAGTCTGCTTCTAATTTGTTTCCAATCCAGCCTCCAAGATGTGCTATTCACAGGATACAGAATTCCTTCTCTCAGTCCATTAGATTCTGGTACTAACATCATAAATACCAACTCTTTCTCAAACACTCAAGATCATAACAAGCCTCATTCAGCCCAATAACTCCAATCCCCTCTCAGCTTTATGTGTCAGCTAAAAAACTCCCTTCACAGGAATCTATCAATAGCTGGACATTCTTTCCATTTTATTTCATGTTTCACCATACAGCCACTTGTTTGCTACGTCATCCGATTGTACCTGTTGTGATTATATTAGCATTTAATGTATGCTCGATAAGAAATAACAACCCACTTTGAAGGACGTGTTACAAACTGTAAAGGATGAAAAGGCGATCACGCTGGTGTTAATCTGTAGAATGACGCTCACACAATGTATCGCGAATACGGAATCTTGTTGACTAAATGTAAGAAAGAAATCCAACAACACAGGAGAGTTTTATTTAAACACAAATATAATACAAATGTTTCTGGCACTTGTCCAGCTATAATAATGTTAACATCGAAGAAAGCTGTTCCCACTCGCTGCTTATCACTTAGATAAAGTTGTTCCGAGATCTTATTTCTTGTAATGTTATATATTTTGTGTGTTCTTGTTATTTTATATTGAAGATTTGATGATCTGAGTCACAGTTATTAGGGAAGCAGTAGGAGTAAAGCTTAACTTTGGTGCATTACTGGACCAGCAATCAATAGGCAATATTACAGTAATATTCAACTTGAGTGCATCGCTTGTCTACGTATAAGCACCCACTTCTATGCAATCCTTCATGTGCTGTTAATGTACACAAAAAAATAAGTAACACAATAACCTAAACATGTTTCTGCGTTACTTCAACTAAATAAAACTAAAAACCCCAAAATCCACAATCCACAATCTGCTGTTAGCAAATTGCAGCTATAAGACATCCACTCTGCACTAACAACTATGCAAAAATATATATAAATAAATATATTTGCATTAGAGTTCCCCCAATTGGCTGTTATCGACAGGCAAGGAGCATGAACCAGCCCCTAGGGACTTTGACAATGGAATGTAAGCGTCACGGTGCACCCCAAACCCTGCAGACAGCAAGGCATGGCCACCCCTTTAAGAGACCTGGCTGGATTTGAACTCACAGCTCAAGCATCCCAGTCAGGTTCTCTGAACCACTAGGGGGTTCAGTATCTGCCTGGATTCATCTGCTACCTGACTCCTTTTCCTGGATGGAGCAGTGCTGATCCACCTGTAGTTCCTTGCCAATTAGACTTTGCTGCTCCTAATCAACAGGCTGTAAAAGCCAGCTCTGCTGAGGCCTAGTATCTGGTTGTTTGTTTTTCCTGCTGGATGTGCGTTACTTTGCTTTTTCTGGACTCTGACCTCTGCTTGCTTTACCGATTACCATATTCTGCTGCCGGCCCGGACTTCAGCTTCTTGCCTGACCCTGCCTTTGGATACCCCTCATCTGTACTGCGCTTTGGTTTTTTGCGCCCGTGTGCCATCTCCTGCATCTGGGCTCCAACTCCTGGTAAACTGTGACAGTAAGTGAAGCAAAGGTATTTTTTTTGGTTTGTTTTTTTAACACTTTCATGGATGGGAGGGGAACTGTGGGGATAGAGGAACACTATAGTGTAATAGTGTTTCTTAGACAAGAACAATAATAAAGAAAGAAAACTGTGATTTTACTATGCCTACAGCTCTGCATATTGATTGCTTTTCTGCAAAGGAACACTGCTTGATACAAGACTCCTATGGGATTTACCCTCAAAATTCCCATAATGTTCCTTCAAGATTTAAAGAATTATTTATTATAACAATACAGAGCATAACAAGGCTTTGTGTCAGTATTTTAATAGATGCCGTACAGTTTGATCACCCATGTTGACACGGAGACGTGGAATTTTAAATGTATAATTGACTTTTACCTGAGCTGGTTTACGTGAACACAAAACTGAATATTACATAGAAATAACCGGAATTTATTATCCTGAAGAATTAACATTATAGAAATATAATGCCCATGTGGTTTTTTTCATATTTTTTTTTTCTTTACTCATTTAAGAATTAAGAGTTTTTTTCACATCAAGATGGCATTAATGAATCCCTCATTAAGACAACAGCCTAATACCATCAGACGTAATTACTAGAATAAACTAATAGAAAAGAATGTGTAATACAAACTGGCGCTATTATTACAGTATAAAATACCCCCCAAAAAGTGCAGCTGGTTAAAACCGTGACATCAATCACATAAATTACACCTCATTACACACAAATACAAAGAAAGTGAACAGCGCACTTCAAACTTATAAATAATGGTGAATATCAAAAAAAGGGAATAGACACAATTGATGGTATTAATTGAATATATACATATACCCCATAAATGATC